ATAGAAAAATCCATTAAATAGTGTTGTTAAAGAGCAGAGATAACTACAGCTGACATTTATCAGGAGTTTATTCTGCACTACCTAAGTTTCTAGCTGATTTATATGCATATTATGAGAATCCTCATAACTGCCTAGAGGCAGATAGTATTATAATTCTTGTTTTGTAAATAAGAAAACTAAGGTGTAAAGGTTAAGCAGCTTGCCCAAGTCACTCTGCCAAAAATTGGTGAGGCTAGGACTTGAACCCAGGACTGTCTGATCTCAGAGCCCTCAGTCCTAGGCACTAGGCTGGACTCAGTGGCATTTGTGATTACAACATGCAATTGAACTCAACCCAGTCACAACCAGCTGAAGCCCTGAGGTTCAGAGTTCCTGTAACCCTCTTCTCAATCCCCTCTCTGCTGTCAGCATTTTGCTTCTTTTTTTTAATTTTATTTTATTGTGGTAAGAACACTTAACATGAGATCCATGCTCTTAATAAATTTTCAAATGTGCACTACATTATTATTTGTGTGTGTGTATGTGTGAGTGATGTCTTTGTATATAATCTCTGGTCAAAATATATGTTTTCCACTTTAGGCAGGTGAAATATAAAAAGAAAAAAGGTGAAGTCATTTGAATGGCTTCCCCAAAAATAAAATCTCAGTTCATTGAAGTTTCAAAGTAGGGAAAACTCAATTATGATCATTTCTATATGAAGCTAATCCCATAGAAATCAAGGTCACATTGAAGTTCACAAAAAACATTTTTTTTTCAGTGTAGGAATTTCTCCAATACTATCTCTACAGTATTTAATCAATAGGTGTGATTTAAACAATTTCATAAAGGGAAGCTTCAATTTTTCCCAGAAAAGAACATATGAAAACACTGTATTGTAAGAAATAGAATATTAATATCTTTGAAGCCCTGAGGGCCTCTTCTTGATCAAATTAATTTCCAACCCCACCAAAGGTAACAACTACCCTATTTCTAAATTATTTACATGTCTTTATAGCTTTAAATATATATACTTGTATATATAAATGTGTTTTTAAATTATATAAATATTATATAAATACAAATTGTTTAATTTTATATTTTTTGTCATTATTTAAAAATGTATCATATTGTACTATATTCCTCTGTAATTTGCTTCTTTTTGTTTAACTTTACTTTTATTAGATTCAACAATGTTAATTTGAGTAGATATAGTTCATCCGTCTTCGTTGCTATATAACTTTAACATTGCATTGCATATGTATTATTATATATGCGTATATAAAAATATGTGTATGTAGAAACCATAATTTATTTATCTATACAAGGCAATTCCATGATTTTTTGTTTGTTTGTCTGCTATTACAAATGATGCTGCCAGGAACATTCTTATCCATGTCTCCTAGCATATAATTCTAGAAGTGGAAATACTAGCTCAGAGGGTCTGTGCATCATCGACTTTACTAAGTAAGCGACTGTTGTACAAAATAATTGTAACAGTTTGCACTGTCACCTGCAGGATATCATATTTCCCATTGTATTTCATTATAATGCCTTAACGTTGTTCCTGTTGGTGCTGGTCGGGGAAGTCTTGGCCTGGGAAAACAAATTTTTAAATGTGCAATACATTATACTTGACTATAGGTACAATGTTTCACAGGAACTCTCGAGAGCTTATTCATCTTATTTAACTGAAACTTTATGCCCATTGATTACTAATTCCTCATTTCCTCCTCCCCTCAGCTTCTGGAAACCACCATTCTACTCTGATTCTACGACTTTTACTATTTTAGATACCTCATATAAGTGGAATCATGACGTATTTGTCTTTCTTTGGCTGGTTTATTTCGCTTAACATAATGTCCTTAAGATTCATCCATGTTGTCACATATGGCAGAATTTCCTTCTTTTTTAAGGCTGAATGGTATTCCACTGTAGGTATATACCACATTTTCTTTATCCATTCGTCTGTCAATGGACGTTTAAGTTGTTTCCACATCTTGGCTATTGTGAATAATGTTGCAATAAACATAAGAGTGCTAATATCTCTTCAAGATAGTGATTTCATTTCCATCAGACGTATACCTCGAAGTGGAATTGCTGGATCATATGGTAATTCTATTTTTAATTTCTTGAGGAACTCATACTGTTTTCCATAATGGCTGTACCAATTTACATTCCCACCAACAGTGTGCAAGTATTCCCTTTACTCCACATCCTCACCAACACGTTGTCTTTTGTTATTTTGATAATAGCCATCATAACAGGTGTGAGGTGAGATCTCATTGTGGTTTTGATTTGCATTTCCCTGATGATTAGTGATGTTGAGCATTTTTTCTTAGATCTGTTGGCCATTTATATATCTTCTTTGGAGAAATATCTATTCAAGTCCTTAGCCCATTTTTTAATTGGCTTATTAGTTTTTTTTCTATTGAGTTGTAGGAGTTTCATCATTTTACTTTCTTATTTTAAAACTTCTTGGGCAAGGCTCTTGAGACTTCCTGACCCCCTCACACAGACATACACAATCATCATGTCCCGTTGCCTCATGCTGTCCTCTTCTCCATTTCTCCCACAGTCTCAGCTTAGAAACAATCTACCTTGGAATCAAAGAGGATGAATAGAAATAATCATAGGAACAAGGGAGCTGATAGCAAACCAGTCTCTTGGCCCACATCAAGCGATTTTTGAGAGGGTGGAACATACTGGGTGAAAAGGTCATCTGGCTTTCATGAGCTCTCTGAAATCACTCTCAGGGACCTGGTTGTGTGCAAGCTGTCAGCATCAGGCCCCTTAATTTATCTGTCACTACTGCAGGAAAGACTCTACAAAGCAAGAAATCCACTGGAATCTCTGTTCCTTCACCTTCTCTGACCAGGAAACTCTAACACCTTCTGCTCTGTTTATCCCCATCCTGACATTACTCTCCTTTCAGTGATAACCTCGACTATTTCTCTCTCGCTCGCTCACTTTCTTTTTCCTTGACCCAGCTAAACCGGGTACTATATATTAAATATGAGAATTATTATTTTCCCTTATTTTATATTACTTATATATTATTGATATGATTAGGACTTACATAGCACCTGCTCATTTACAAAGCACTTTTCAGACATGTTCATTCATTTGGTGCCCACGACCTTCTGATGAAAACGGTATTGTATTTCTCCCACTTTTCCATGAGAAAAATAAGTGAGTCACACAGACTTTCCAAGGGGAAAGCTGGTAAATAACTAAACCAGAACTAGAACCCAAATCCTAGACTATTTCCACTAAGTCTCTTCATCCAAAGAATCTGATTCTAGTCATTTATGCAACATGCCCCAGTCATTCAAGATGCTGTCAAAGTTGTCCATTCTGAGTTTATTCTGTCAGCAAATATTTAATAGGCAGAGAGGTGATATTGTATAATGGCTAAGAATGGGACCCTGAAGCCAAACTGCTTGTGTTGGAATTATAGCCACTTACTAGTTATACTATTGAGCAAGTTACTGATTATTGTAATAAGTCTGTAATTCAGTTTCCTCGTGTGTACACTGCCAGAGTTCTTATGTGGATTAAATCGTCATACAGTGCCTAGCACATGGTAAATACTCTCTACGTGTTCAGTATTTTTATTAGGCACCTGCTACAAGGATACAGTAGTGAACTGAGGATACAGTGTTGAATAGCCAGACAGGTCCCTCTTCTTAACAGAAGCAGTATCCTGGACCTCTCCTATGTCAATCACGTCTTATTGTGCCCTTCCTAGTAGGAGAAATCACTTTGTTCAAAGTTCCAAGCACTTTGGGGAGAAAACAGATGCTTCAGGAACCTATGGTCCTACATCTTAGCAAAGTGCCCAGAGAGATGCAGACAATATGGATTCTTTCCAACAACACAAAGAATTTCATTTAAGTACTTGGAACATCAAAAAAAGAAAAATCATTGGCACCCAGCATCCTTGGGTATAGACTTCTTCTCACTCACCTTTGTCACCCTTTATCTGGGCTCACTGAAAGACATCTGCAGATAACTCCCTGCATTCTGCTCTGGAACTAATCCTGACCCTAGGCAAAGTGAACATTAGCCCAAGTCTGGGAACACAGTGACTGACTCAGCATCAAGTAATTCTGGCTGATAGCCAGGATCTGATCCTGAGTGTAATTAATTTCTGATCATGTTCATTGCAACTGAGTTTCTGCCTTTATAAATTGCTGAGCAGAGCCATAATTCATTCCAGACTGGGATCCTACTTTGTTCTCTCTAGATCTTGCTCCTTAACGCCCATCTCTAGGACATGAATTCAGTTCCTGAGCCCCAGAACTTTGCTATCTAGTCCTCTCAGTGTTGTCTTCCAGCATATCTGCATCTTTTATATAGTTCTCATGCTCAGAAAACCACCTATAACTCAACTCAATTCCCATCTACTGTCAAGGCATTCACCTGTTACCTCTGTTATGACTTTCTTAATACCACCCACCTACATGAAATAAAAAGTTTAACCAAACCAGATGGATGCCCTCTCACTACCAGAAAGCGGTCTGCCCATATTCCCCAAAGTTCCAAAAAGTGGTTCTGCCCCCATGTCATACAGTTTCACCTCCTGGGGGATTGTAGACTTTCCAGTTTCATGGCACTCCTGACTTGATTGTTACTAAAATTCCTAAACCCATTCCACAAGCTTTTCTCAAAGAGATTGAGCTAGGAACACCATCTCTAGGATATATATGTGTTTTCTTCAGGGAGAAGTTGAGATAGTCTGATATCAGCTTTTAGAAAACCAAAGAAGAGACAGAATAGTATGAGGAGATAAATTTCATAATTTCTGTCTTTATAGATGAAGGAAATTAAAATTCAGGAGGTGACTTCATGCTCAGTGTAAATTAGTGACAGAGCCAGAATGGAAAGCCAGACCTGTGTGACACCAAAATCCATACTCCTGTCAACTATACCAGCCACTCATAGGAAGTTATAGGAACTGGATACTCCAAGCCAGGACACACATCTAACATCCCTTTATATTTTCTACTTGCAGGACAGTGATGCCAAGGGAAAACCAGAGTCACATCACTGAATTCCTCCTTCTGGGACTGACCAGTGACCCCAAATGGCAGGTGTGGCTCTTTGCCAGCTTCCTGGCCATGTACTTGGTCAATGTGGCTGGAAACTCAGTCATCATTGCAGCCATCCGGAGGGATGCTCGCCTCCACACCCCCGTGTACTTCTTCCTCTCCAACCTGTCTTTCGTGGACATCTGCTTTACAAATGTTATTGTGCCAAGAATGCTGGCAAACATGCTGAGCAAGAGCCAGAAGGTCCCCTTTGCCCACTGCCTCACCCAGATGTATTTCTTTGTGACCTGCGCGATCACTGACAGCTTCCTCTTGGCTGCCATGGCCATTGACCGCTACGTGGCCATCTGTATCCCACTGCATTACACCATGACCATGAGACCCAGGCACTGTCTCCTGCTGGTGATAGCATCCTGGGTGGTGTCCCACCTCCACTCACTCACCCACACGATTCTCATGGCCCGCCTCTCTTTCTGTGGGCCCAATGTCATCCACCACTTCTTTTGTGACGTCCAGCCACTGCTAACCCTCTCCTGCTCTGACACCTCTGTCAATGAGTTTTTGGCCTTCACAGAGGGCTCCTTTGTGATCATGACACCCCTTGTCCTCATCCTTGTCTCTTATGTCTACATCACCCATGCTGTTCTGAAGGTCCCTTCTGGGAGAGGCAGGTACAAGGTCTTCTCCACCTGTGGATCCCACCTCACAGTCGTGGCACTATACTATGGGACTGCCATTTCAGTGTACATTCGCCCCTCATCCACCTACTCAGTGACAAAGGACCGTGTGGTCACTGTCATTTATACTGTGGTAATCCCCAGGCTGAACCCTTTTATCTATAGCCTTAGGAACAAGGACATGAAACAAGCATTGAGAAAGCTGACTAGAAGAAAAGACTACAATAAGTAACACATATTTTATGGAAAGGTAGTTTGAACTTATGTAAATATCCTGTTCCTCATCAAACTTTTCCCCATCTATTCATTTACCTAAATTGGTGTAGACTTATGTTTTCTTACTTTATTCAGTGATGTATAATTTATTATTTCTGTGTCCTTTTGATATGTTCCCATCATTCTTTGAGCACTATCTTGCTTTCTATCACATCAAGATGTTCCAGTCTCATCTTGTACTTTCTCTGCTCCAGTTCTGGAATCAGCCATTTCTCCAAAAAGCCAGGATTCCCAACCTGGATGCCCTCTTCACCCTACTCAGACTCTGATATATGTCAAGTTACTCTTCATCTACTTTTGGATCTGACTCCCTTCTCTAGGATGTACCTTACATAGATGTCCTTCTCACCCTATGTGGGCCCCAACACCTAATGCTGTGTTGCCCTCAAACATGGACAACCTTCTTACCATGTTGGATCTCTGATTCCCCATACTGAGTAGCCTCTTCACAGTGAAACCTGTCTCATCCTGTTTGGGTTTTGACTCCCCACATTGGGTTTCCTCTTTCCGTGGAAGCCCTCTTCCTCCCCTCACATGGACTCCAACATCTCATGGGAGGCTGTCCTCATCTTGGACATCCTCCTCCCCTGTTCAGGTTCTGAGAACCTACATCTGGCTGTCCCTGTGTATAGATGCCATCTTCACTCTGCTTGAACTCTCTATTAGTCTGTGTTTTAGAGAAACAAAACCAAAATGATATAAATATGTAGGTATATAGATATAAAGTAAAGAATTGTCTCACGTGATTATGGAGGCTGAGAAGTCCCAAGATCTGCCGTTGGCAAGCTGGGGACTCAGGATAGCTGATGATATAGTTCCAGTCTGAGTCCGAGTCCAAAGACAGAAGAAGACCCACGTCCCAGCTGAAGATATTCAGGCAGAGGGAGCAAATTCTTCCCTACTCAGCCTTTTTGTTCTATCCAGGGCTTCAGCGAAAACTCATAAAACCACCTGCTTTGCCACTGCAGACCAAGACACTTGGTGGAAACTTCTCAGAGATTCTCAAGACTTGCAGCATCCTCCAGACAAGCCTTTGAGAACCATCTGCTTTGGTGCTTCTGGCAAAGATCTTCAGTGTCAATCTCTCTTACCTCTAGCAGAAGCTTCTCTGAACTCTGCTCCTCTCATTCTTTCAACAATTTTGTAAGCCCCAAATTCTATATTAAACTCATTATATCAGGAATATAATGTTTTTCTAATCAGGAATGTTTTTCTAACTGGCTGATGCAATTTTTAGTACCAAAAATGATTCCAAGGAAATAGAAATTTAAATATGAGAATCTGGAATTTGCTATACAATATACTTAGATCTGAAGGTAGTCATGACTTCATTGCTAGTGGGAAATGGGACACTGTTAACCCATTGAATCAATTGGCAACATAGTTACAATCACTTGGGAGACCAAATAGCCTTAGCAATAGGATGTTACAATGGAAATAAAGAGGATAAGGAGAGTGGAGTGGACTGGCTGCTTCAGAGTATAGTAGAGAACTTTGAGAAAGAATATGGAGGTGAGGTAAGCAACATAGCAGAGTGAGCTGTTCCCTTTGTCTCTCCCCATTTTGAACTACAACTAAATGGACATTCATTGACCAACAGAGGAAGCCTACACAGCACAACAGGATGCCTGAGAGACACATGCAGCTATTCATCTGAGGTGGATTGACTGACCCTCTGGGAAGTGGTGGAGATAGGTGAGTGCTCCCTACCCTCCCCCGACAGCTCTGTGCACACACAAGATCACTTTCCAGCCTGGTGCGAGTGCCCCAAAAGTGGGAACGTGCCCCGGGGCAACTGTAGGACGAGGCAGCGCAGCCCTTAGCCTACTGATGATTGCTTTCCTGGTGAGGGGGGAGCCCACTGTGCCCCTGACGCCCCAAGAAGTGGCCCTGGTCAGGTCCTCACGACAAGTTCCACCCACCAAGCACAGCAGCCTGTGGGTCTGCAAGCAGAGTCTGCAGCAGAAATAAGCACACCAGGGCAGGCATTATCCAGGCCCCCATGAGTGCACATAGTGTCACTGAACCCCAAAAGAGGGAGTGCACCCCAGGGGGACTGCAGGTATAGGCAGCAGCTGCCCTTAACCCATTCATGATCACTTTCCTGGTGGGGAGTGGGGAGCCCACTGTGCCCCTGTGGGCCCAAGAAGTGGCCCTAGCTTGGTCCCCATGAGGAAACCCTGCCTGCCAAGCACAGTCCACACAAGTGCCTGAACGCTCTCCAGGCTGGTGAAAGCACCCACAGTACCCACACTACTTCCAGCAGACAGGGTGGGACCAGAAACGCTGCTCTGCTCCCCCAAGTGGTAGCAGGTGGAATCTGCAACCTAATACTGCCACAAATGCCCCGACAAAAGATTAGTTCATCAAACACCATAAGAAACCACAGCAAAAATTCAGACCAGCAGGAAAATCACAATTCTCCAGAAACCAACCCTGAAGGCACAGAAATTTACAATCTAAATGACGGAGAATTCAAAATGGCTGTCAGAAAGAAGCTCAACATGTTACAAGAGGACACAAAAACAGTTCAGTGAGCTCAGGAATAGAATGAACCTCTTCACCCAAGAGATTGAAACTATAAAAAAAAAATCAAGTGGAAATTCTGGATATTAAATACATAATCAGTGAAATAAAAAATAATCTAGAATCCTTAAAGAATAGAGATGATGTTATGGAGGAAAGAATTAGTGATTTAGAGGATAAAATATAGAAATGCTACAGGTGGAGGAGGAGACAGAAATAAGATTTTTTTTAAATGAAGGAATTCTTAGAGAAATATCTGACTCAATTAGGAAAAGTAGCATAAGGATTATAGCTATTCCAGAGGGAAAAGTGAGTGTGAAAGGAGTAGAGAGCTTGTTCAAAGAAATAATAGCTGATAACTTCCCAAACCTGGGGAAGGAACCAGATTTACAAATACACAAAGCTAATAGAACGTCTAATTACATCAATGCTAAAAGACCTTCTCCAAGGCATATAATAGTAAAACTAGCAAAAGTCAATGACCAAGAAAAAATTAAGGGCAGCAAGACAAAAGAAAATAACATACAAAGGAACCCCTATCAGGCTTTCAGCAAATTTCTCAGCAGAAGCCCTACAGGCTAGGAGAGAAGGGAACAATATATTCAGAATGTTGAAAGGCAAAAACTTTCAGTCAAGAATACTCTACCCAGAGAAACTTTCCTTCAGATACAATGGAGAAATAAACACTTTCCCAAATAAACAAAAGCTGAGGGAGTTCATCACCACTAGACCTCTCCTACAAGAAATAATTAAAGATGCACTCACACAACAAACAAAAAGGCAAAGGCCTACAAACTGTTGAGCAAGGAGATAATTAGAAAAATCAGAAAACGGCAGCTCTATCAGAGCAGGGAAGCAAATATTCAGTTATAACCTAAAGATAAAGTGAATGAAAGCATCAAAAGTAACTACAAACACTTGATCTTAGTCACAAACTCGCAGCATTAAAAACAGAATAATTGGTAACAACAATAACTCAGAAGAGGAGGAGGAAAGGGATGGAACCTGCTTAGGTTAATGGAGATAAGAGGCTACGAGAAAATGGACTATTTCACCTACGAGATCTTTTATACAAACCTCACAGTAACCACTAAACAAAAAATCAGAGCAGAGCCACAATTCACAAAAAGAGAAAACCAGCTCAGAAAACCACCAAAATGAAATGGCAGTAAGAATTACAAAAGAAGAGAAAGAATGGAAACACAGATCAACCAGAAAACAATGGCAGTATGAAGCCGTCATATATCAATAATAACTCGAATGTAAATGGATTGAATTCTCCAATTAAAAAACACAGAGTAGCTGGATGGATTAAAAAACAAGACCCAACAATATGATGCCTCCAGGAAACACATCTCAGCTCTAAAGACAAACATAGGCTCAGAGTGAAGGGATAGAAGACAACACTCCAAGCTAATGGCAAACAAAGGAAAGCAGGTGTTGCCATACTTATATCAGACAAAGCAGACTTCAAGTTAAAAAAGACAATGGGAGACAGAGAGGGACAGTATATAATGATAAAAGGGACATTGCACCAAGAGGACATAACACTTATTAATATATACACACCTAACACAGGGGCACCAAAGTACATAAAACAACTATTAACAGATCTAAATGGAGAAATTAACAACCACACAATAATAGTACAGGACCTAAGCACCCAGTTACTGTCCATCTGTCAATGGACAGATCATCCATACAAAAAGTCAACAAGGAAAGAGTAGATTTAAATGAATCAGTTGATCAGATGGACTTATACATATATACAGAGCATTCCATCCAAAAACAGCAGAATACACATTCTTCTCAAGTGCATACAGATCGTTCTCAAAGATAGACCATATGCTGGCAAACAAGCAAGCCTCAATAAATTTAAGAAGATTGAAATAATTCCAAACATCTTTTCTGACCACAGTGCTATGAAATTAGAAATCAAATAGAAGAAAAAAAAATGGGAGAGTCAAACATATGTGGAGACTAAACAACATGCTACTGAACAACCATTGGATCAATGAAGAAATCAAAGGAGAAATTAAAAAATACCTGGAGAAAACTGAAAATGAAAATACAACATACCAACTCCTATGGGATGCAGCAAAAGTGGTCATAAAAGGGAAATTCAGGGCAATACAGGCCCACCCAAACAAACAAAAAAAATCTCAAATAAGTAACCTTAAACTGCACCTAACAGAACTATAAAAAGAATAACAAACAAAGCCCAAAGGCAACAGAAGGATGGAAATAATAAAAATCAGAGCAGAAATAAATGAAATAGAGACTAAAAAACAGTAGAAAGGATTAATGAAACTAAGAGCTGGTTCCTTGAGAAGATAAACAAAATTGACAAACTCTGCCAAACTCGCCAAGAAAAAAAGAGAGAAAGCTCAAATAAATAAAATTAGGAATGAAAGAGGAGAAAGTACAACA